ACCTTTGCTTCAAGAAATTTTCTCTAACTGGACCTCTTTAAATTTTAGTTGAATACCCCTGCAATAGAGCTATTGAACTAATTAGAATTTTTTAAATCCCAATATCTCAGTATATATCGCAGAAAGAATAAATATTGCAATGTGATTTATTCCCAATATCGTGCAGCCCTATTATAAATGTGGCAAAGTAATTGTGAAAGTAAAGTACAAATCCTGAAAAAACTTCCCTATATAACGTAGTATTATGACATATAACTGCTTCTATCTTATACTTATAGCAAAAAAGAAAAAAGAATGGACAGGGCCACACATTGAAATATATGAAGTAAAAGTTCAATGTGTTACCTTCATAAGCAGGAACTCCCATACTGTCATCACTTTAGCCAAGCGAGGAAGCACCATCTCCACAAGCTCTTCATTATTGCACTGCTGCAATACCTTAAAAAGTAAAACAGAAAACAATTACCAGCAGTGCAAAATTGCATTTTTTATGTTTATTAGCTTACGTATTTAGTTCAGGCAACAATTTTAATCGTTACAATAAAGCCATTGATCTAGGAGGAGCTATATTTGACAAGACATTTTGAAAGACGATGCTTTTTGTATCCGACCTCAGGAAAAACCCAGTTTATACTCTGGCACAGGTACAATTTAAAATTAATCCATGCTGGATGACCAACCCGATCTCACGAATTTTCGTGCAGCCATCACGACATACTGTAAAATCTATTTAAACATGCTGGGGTAACGTTTCCCCTCCCTATGTGTTTTAATGGGCAGTGCCTAATACCGCCACTATGAGCGCTAACTGGTGACTAAGGGACGGGAAAGTCATGCATGGCCAGAATCATATTTTGTTTTTTGTGATCTGATAACGCTTTCCATAACGTGTGACGCGACCTTGCAAAACAGCGCTTGGATTTTAGTTCTGTTGCATGAATGAGTTAGTGTATGGAGGGAAATCCCGGACATTATTCAAAAGGAATTATTAACAGAAGTAAAATCCTATTTTTATTATGATGGACCCTATAGTAACTTAACAAGCAATTAATAAAACAACTTGCTTATCCTACATTGGTTCGGGGTGGCATAGAGCTGGGTGGTATGACCAAAAATTTATATCACGGTATTTTTCAAAGTTATATCGGGTTCACGGTATACGATGGTATTTTTTTTTTGTATGATTGGGCGTTTACCACATTTTATAGGATTTTACAAGACACATTTTTGTATTGTTCCCACATTAATTATTATTATTTTATTATTAGCCATTGTGCCTATCCGCTACCTTAATGATAACAGACGGCTAACGTGTTTGTTGGCCAACTACTTTGGATTTCCTTTTCTTAGAAGGAAACTGCATTGCCTGGTTTTTATTGCAAAGGCTTTAATGGGCAAATTACCTCAGTACATATGTAGTTTGCTGACATTCCGCACTAATACATACAGTACCTGTTCATCAGTTAAACTTCTCCTTCAGTCTCCCACCACACGCACAGAACTGAGGAAATCCACCTTTTGTTCTTATACACCACGAGTGGAATATATTACAAAATATATTGAATTTAGACTCCTTGCCTTCTCTGAATGCGTTTTAAAAAAACAAACTCTGAGCTTAAAGAACAGTGTCATTGTTTCATATAAATTAATTTTATTCCAGGTATTTTTGGAGAGTTTGAGTATTTGTATGTGTTTTAGTTTGTGTTAATATTAATCATCTCAGTGTGTACATATATGAAACTTTTGTCTTATTTTTCTTATTTGTTGCTTGTTCCTAGAAGAAGAGATATTGTATCTCAATAGAACCTTCCTGGTAAATAAAGGATAAATAAAATAAATGGCTAATGTTAAGGAGTGCGCCGGCCAAGTTAACATTTTTGATAAGTGTTTAATAGGTCAGTGTTGCTGGAACGCCAGCTTTACAGACCTCACGAAATTTCTTATAAAGACCAGATGCTTTACCAGGTTTGACGCGATACATGACTTCGTCGCCATAACTTTGTAGCACTGTTTGCATCCTTAGCCTTTCCATGTTCGTCTGCAAAATGCTTCCAAATGGCACTTTTGCGTTTTTTTTTGTTGTTTTTTTTTTTTTTTAAATAAAGCAGCTTGTGAAGTTCCTTCAACTGCAGCATATGCCATGTTCGGCCAATTCGGTATGTGTGTGTTAATCAGCGGGAATGCGTTCAGCAGATATTGAGGGGAGGGGCAGCACGAGTGTGTTCGTGTGCGTGCGTGCATCTGTGCCTGTGCTGTGTGAAATACGGCGAATGAAGCGAAAAACGCACTGTTGGTATCAATAATGGTGAAAATGAGTATCTAATCAGATACTAATTTTTAATATCGATTAGTATCTCAGAATCGATTTTTGACAACCCCAGTGTCTCATTTTATATATATATATATATATATACACACACACACACACACACACACACACACACACACACACACACACACACACACTCACTCACCTAAAGGATTATTAGGAACACCATACTAATACGGTGTTTGACCCCCTTTCGCCTTCAGAACTGCCTTAATTCTACGTGGCATTG